AACATTAGGAAATGGCTTTGTCATCTAAATGGAATCTCCCTTCACTGGAGGCCTTGGCCAAATGATGGTGGTAAAAAGAACATTTTATGATCTGCTTGGTCTTCTGACCCAAATCTCCCCTAATCATTTTTAAAGGCTGTATACTGATTATATTGCCATCTTTTGTTTTTAGGCCACTTGGCAGCAAATCAGGAAAAAAAAGTAAAAATCTATATTTGGTTTTAAGCTTTCAACGTCTCATCTCCTCCACTGCTGAATGAAGAAATGTCTGATCTACACTTGAATTTGTTTACCATCCCATTCTTTTGTCTCCCTCAGAGAATTTTTCCCAGGATTCCAGTGGCTTTATCTGAGGGGGGGCTTAAGGGATGAAAAAAAAGAGAGAAATAAAAGCCCATTGGTCTCAGCGACACAGAAACAGCATCGAGAGCCAAGCTGTCATCTCACTTGGATTAAGGGCCCTTCATTGGTGGCTGCCGAGCTGCAAACATGGTGTCTTCCCCTCGGCCAGGGAGTGGGTGTGGGTGGGGGGGGTAGAGGGTGGAGCTGAGGCTGTGGCCTAAATAAGACCTGGGGGTCAGTGAGCCTCCTGAACCATGGCAAAACCACTTTGTGTTTCCACGTCAACTTTATTCATGAGCTGACAGCTAAGTGTCTCCTTTCTCCTGTTGATTCAGTCGGTGCAGCATCATGTGCTGGGGCGACAAAGATAATCCTTCGCTAAACCTCTGCAAACCTCCTCATGTACAAGTTTTGGAAACGTAAGATTTGAAGGCATGCTGGTGTGAAGGCGTACGGTGGATGACTGAGTAGGTCTGACTCTCAACACTCACAGTTTTATCAGCAGGGCGACAGAGGTGCTGGTGTATTTGTGGAACTCTTAGACAACATGAGTGGGCAGAATCACGGAGCCAACAGGGGGCGACATGCAAGTTTTTCTTAAGCTCCTTGCACATCGGACGAGGCTGAACATTTATGAACATTTGAAAACAGAGGAGAAGGCATTCAATCAGACACCCTTTTTTTCCTGAATTCCCCGAAAGTTGGCTAGCAGGCAAAGAGGGTGGACCACTGCCAGCCTCCTGTTGTTTTCACACAGTCAAAGGGAACACAGGTTCTTGTTATGTGGTGCCACTGGGCCACCTACTCCCTCCCCAACATCTGCTGCCCTTTCAGAGTTGGCCTGAGCATAAACACACCGAGGGCTCTCCGGAGGAAGGAGAAGCTCTTCAGTCCCCTCCAGGAGGACGAGTGTTCAAACATAGACGCCGTCCTCAAAGCACCTAATATGGAAAAGTTTCCCTTCACAGTGGAGAGAGAAGCCTGTCACACCAGTGCAGGCAGAGAAGATAGAAGTCCTTTGTTGTCTCCACCCCTCCACAGCGCTGACTGAGGTACACGAACCACACCTCCTCCCCACTGCAACCCAGGGGGCTTCAAAACACCAATTTCACTTCCCCCTCCCTTCACGTCTTCATATAGAGGGTAAATTAGAAGGAAAAAACACCACATCTTCACTTCGTTCTTTTCTGGTCCCTAATCTCACCTGGGTGTCAGATATTTTGGTTTACAGAGCGTGTTCCTCTGTGAGTATTACACTGGACACTTGATTCCATTACCTCAGCCCGCCACTTCAGAGTGAAGGGAGGATGTGAAGTCTGAGGGCAGTCTGTGTGGACAGAGGGACATCCAGTAGCAGTGGTCCCTGGACAGGCCTTAGGACAGCCGTCCTGATGACAGTAACACCTGTACTGACTGCTGCTCATTTACCATTGGTCCACGATGGGCTTTTATCTACCATCTTATCTTTTACCTGCCAACACTTAGATAAAGATAGACAATGTACTTCCTCTACTCAACTTAATCAATAAATTAATTGCTTATAATTAAAATAATATTTTGAGCAGGGCCTTGAACGGGAACCCAGACAGATATACAGAACCAGCAGTTCCTTAAATCCCCTAAAACAATATGAATTTTTCAAAGTTGTGCTCAGCATCCATTCATACATTCATAATGAAAATATAAACAGTTGCAGCTGTTTAGAGACATTTCCCAAGAACGTGTCAATCCCCATAAGGGCTGCTGCCTAAATGAGTGTGAAACTTTAATTGCACCCACCAGCAAAAAGACAAAGAGCGAGAACAAGAGAGATGGAAACACATGTTAGTGTGAAATCAACTTGTACGGCTTTTTTTTTTTTTTACGTCCCGTTCCCCCTGTACCAACTCATGCACACAAGTGTTCAAGCAGCCGTGAAGCGGGTGGGGGCAGGGGTGGAGGGCAGGGGGCACTGGTCCTCTAACGAGCCGCTGATCAGCCTCAAAATGAGACCAACGTGCCGGTGACAGAGAGGTCCAGCCGATGTCAGCATGCTGTCCTGTGTGTGTGTGTGTGTGTGTGTGTGGCTCTCCATGACAGAAACACCCAGACAACAGTGACACTAATGGAGAGACATGGGCCTCCATCAGTCCCTGGAGGATTCAGCCTCATCACAGCTGAGCAGCAGAGCTCCTCTCTGCATAACTGCTGCTGGACTGTCTCAATCCATGACACTGGAGCACGTGTGTCTCCCTGAGACACACACACACGCACACACACACGTACACACACACACGCCATGATTCCATCAGTCATCTAGAGCAGTGTTTCCCAACCTTTTTTGAGCGACGCACACATATATCATGAGCAAAAAAAAACTACGGCACACCACTAAAATAAAATCTCATAAAAAGTATATGTAATGAAATATAATAATCTTCTAGTTTAAATGACCTCATAATTGACTGTTTAGTTGAAGACAACGCTGATATACTGGCAGGAATTGAAGAAAGACACTATCTTTTTTCTTTTAGTTTTCATAGCTATCTGCTGCCACCTAGCAGAAGAGTATTGAATTGTTCTGCCTTTCGTGCTTTGACGAGCACAGAAAAATTATATGCGATAAATAAATAATTGTTTTCAAACCAATTAAGAGACATGTAATATTTTCACAGTGGTTGGGAATCACTGATCTGACTGTGAACTTGGGAAACTTCACTTCACGTTTCACGTTGACAAAAGTATAAATAATGTTTTAACAAAAAGGAAAAAGATAGCACTGTTACTACACTTCCAAAGTCAACCAAAGTATCCATGTAATGTTAATGAGAATTACCGTGTAGACATCATCATTATCAGGGGTCACTAGTAGCTAGCCGCTTGCTAACAGCTTCTTAGCTGTGACTCTGATCTAGCATAAGAGACCTAGGTTTTCACACACTATCAATGTCAAACTCAGAACTGTTTCAAAAAACTAAAGTACATTAGGAGTGGCACTGTTCAATGCTAAAGACGAGGGCGTTTGTGCTTCATGTTTTTCTTTTTTAGATATCGTATTTATCTTTATTTATAAACGCTAATGCTGACAGATTTTTGTTGCGTCCATGAATGTATCCCTTTGCTGTAAAAGCATCAGAAAGTAAAGAATCCCTCAGACTGTACCAGCCCTCCTCCTAAATGATGTCATTATCATCGACGCAGCTGTCGGTGAACAACTCCTCTCATCTTTGAGCCACTTGTCCTGCGGTTGGCAGGGTTCAAAATGCCACAGACGGACGCTCACAGAAGGAGCGTTGATGGCTTCTTGCAAAATAGTCTGCGCGTTTCTACGGCCCACGGAGTGAAATTTGTGGCATTTTCCCTCCAACACCCAAGCTTTTCCCATAGCCCCCGGAGCAGGGCTGCTAACTGCCAGTGGTTTAAGGTCAGCTGTGTGACTGACTGGTGCTCTCACAACAACCACAGCCAACGTGTGTCACGATAATCCTTTAGTTATGCTAATCTCCCATCCGGCAGCAGTTTGCTGAGGGTGAAGCCGGGATGGCAGCACAATGTAGGTCACTTTGCTGCCCTGATTTCTCCAAGTTGGTCAAATGAGCCTTGAAATGTCTCGTTAAGATCCCTACATGGCAGAAGTACAGTCTCCAGGCTTTTCCACTGAGACTGCAGTCGGAGACAGCGTTTGGTGAAAACGACACAGTGGGAAGTGGAGCTGAGGCCGGGACGGGACGGCCAGTGTTTATCTTCTCAAACAGATTAACATTCGTCTGTGATTTGTGAATAAAAACAAGTAGAAAGTGTGTCAGCCTGTTGTCCGTTGCATTAACAAAGCCTCAAAACAATGAAGCAGGTCATTAGTCATGAATTAATATGGCTGCCTATATATGAGCTGGCAGGGAAAGTGCTCTTCCCAGGCATATGTGTATGTGGGGTCCACGACCTGGGGTTAGAGAGAAAATGACAGAGAGGAGGAGGAGGAGGAGGAGGAGGAGGAGGGTGGGGGTGAAGAAGGGATTGGGAGTTAATGTGCGTCGGAAAAGCAGTTGTCCAAATAAGAGGTCATGAGAATGACTCTGGTGAATGACTTGGAGATCCATCCTAATCAGATTGAGTGTGTTGGAAGGGAAGTTAGACTGCACAACAAGACGCACAAATAAAAAGGGAATTAAACCTCAGATCTGCTCAGGGCCACGGGAGATGTTGTTTACAGGGGCATTATTTTTAATCCACACAGGACGAGAACAGCTGTCAGGCAGAGGCACAGTCAAGTTATCTGTGAAACCGAGGACGGTTTATGTCAAGGGTCCAAAAAGTGACAGGAACCTTGGTCCAGCATCCCCTCAGCACCAGCAGCAGCAGCAGCAGCAGCTCTAGCTCAGGGTGCAGCTCCAGTCAGCTGCACCTGCTCTTCCTGATTACCACCGAGAGTCTATGCTGCACACACGTCAACGCTTCCTAAAAGTGCGCTTCACCATCACACAGGGATTCGAACCGTTGGAAACCACCCGCAGCCTCTGTAGGACTCTTTGTCCCCCGGGGGAAGGAAAAACAGGAGGGTAGCGGTTTTGTTTGCAGCCGCGCCGCATCCAAGTGGTTCCATCACCGCCACAAACTCCTGACAGCGAACGGCAGCCTCACCTCACACGTGTTTTATAAAAATGGAACGGGATGACACTCACCTTTGTCTCCCGAACACCGGCGGCGCTGAACACGCAGTCTGCGGTGCGTCTTCAGCCTCCTGCGCTGCAGCGGGAAGGTCTGCTGTGTTTATTTCCGCGGAGTCCCGTTGAGAGCCAGGCGAGCCTCGTGCACTTGTCTGCTCCGCTGCTGTCAGTGCTCCTCTCCTTCTCTCCCTCCTCGTCTCCTCACACTTCACACATACACACGGGCTGGGTGCGCGCAGCTGCGCTCCGGGGCACGCGTGCACTGCAGCGCCGCCACTGGTGGAAAGGCTTCACTGTCCCAGGGCTGAGGTCTGAGGAAATAATAATAAAAATAAATAAATAAAATAATAATAATAATATTCAGATAATAATAATAATGATAATAATGGTAAGAGTAATAATGATAATAATAGATTTATTTATGGGGAATTAAATGAATAATTTTAAGTGAATAATTTCAATAAATTATTACTAAATTGTTTAGTCAAGGGCAAATGTGTTAAAATTATTTTTCTTTTCAGTAAATTTTTTTTTTGCATATTGTCTGATTTAAACCTAAGCATCAGTAGGCACTCATGTTTATAATTCCATCTCTAAAGCTTAAGCAAACGAGGTGAAATCCAAACCAAAATAAAAAGATTTGAGTTGGTTAAATACAAAGGCTTTTGACTTCTCTGACCCTGAACTCCATTATCGCCATCGTGCAGCTTAACTACAAGCAGGTCATTTACATATCTAGATACACTAGTAGAGGTTTCTCTCTCCCTCTCTCTCTCTCTAAGAGCAGGATTGTACTAATAATCATACGTCCACCACTGGGATCAACTGAGATTGTGCCGAGTGAGGTCACAGCAGTTTCGTCTGAGCTCAGTCTGCCGTCTAGCTTTCCATGTTTTTTCCCTGTCTCCAAGAACATGTTACTCATACATGCTTTATCCTGGGCTTAGCTGTTTCAGCCATCTGCAGCCATAGAACTGAACAAAGAGAACAACTGATGCAGTTATTATTAGGATAAGCCTGGTTTAGAATAAAGACGGGGATTCTGGTGGACTTGGCTTCAGCAGTCCAAAAAGGCGTCACAAATGGGTCGTGTTACACGCAGTAAAATTGATTTGGTTTTTTTTTTTTCAAGCATTTCCAAAAATATTGGTATATTTCCTAGACGTTCTGCTTTACTGAATATTATGCGCAGACGGGAGGAGCTAACATTTAGCCAAGGACACTTTCTGGGCATTTCTCCCCAGAGTAAAAGCTCCTCTCTCCCTCATCATCAATTAACCAGATGTGGGAATTCTGACTTTCAAGTGCTGTACTGGGAAGTGTAGTGTTTCTCCTCAGCCCAGAGTTCAGGCTGCCTCCAGAAACGTCTGAGAATCTCATTAAAACGCTTTTAATTTCCCCAAAGCCTATTAGCCATAAAATACCAGATAATATAATGAAAGGTTTTCAGGTGGATACACAGAGCAGCACCGAGGCCACTGTGGTTGTCCGGGCTTTGTTTTGAAATCCAAAAACCCATCAGAGAAAACTCTGCCTTTGCCTGAGTGTAATTATTCTACAGCAGCTTTACTTTATACACAACGTCACGGCCACTGTGCACGAGCAACACTGTCATCGCAGACCGACTTCTCTCCCATAATTCATTGTTATTTTCTTTCTTCCCTTGCTTGACAGAAAATAAGAATAACAGTCATGGCTGCAGCAAGACGACTATGGAATGAAAAAAAAAACCAAACAAATGCGGATCTACCAGAGATCATCAGACTGGGAGTCCAGACATTTATCAGAAATTCGGCTGTCATCAGCAGCATCATGTGTAAAGTGGAAAAAAAAACACTCTTACCTAAAACACTCCACAGAAGAATGACGTTTTGTCACCACTGCAGCCCGCTGGTCAGTCAAATCTGTCCAATAGGAGGCCAGCTTTTGTTGACATCTTGTGCTTCTTATCCTAACTGTTAATTAATGAGCAGGGAGTATTCACTGCTGCTAAATGTGTGGTGTAACAGTGTGGCAGACACACATTGTTAACAGTAGTTTTACCACCTCACAGATGTGATAACACAGTACCGGTTAATACACTCTGGAGCCCTGCTTCTGACGTAGGTCAAAGGTCAACTTAAATCAAATTACCCATCATTGTTAGAAGAGAAGTTCACGAGTCAGGTCTTAATTTCTTTTCACCTCAGAGGAGGATGTGTTTCCTCTGCCCGTCTGTTTAATTCAATTAAATGGCTGCTGCCTTGTTAACAAACAGGAACAAACACGGGTTAGGGCTACATGTGGATACATAATGTATGAAATGGTAAATATACACCTCAGGTAGTATGTTATTATGCCTGTATTTGTGGAATAATATTATAAAAATGTATCTCTTTTTACTTTCATTCATTCCTACCCTGCAGCTTAAGTGAAAGCCACAGCATATCCTATAATTTAATGTTCCCTCTTTCCTCCATCACTTCTGAGAGACACCGATGAAACTAATGGACCGCATTATAAAAAAAAAAGAAGGAGGAAACATCAATGACCAATTTCAAAGGAACAACATTGATTGTAAAAGCAGTTATCTGCAGTGCCCGCAGATTGGAAGATGAAAGAGGAAATGTAGCACAGGATGTAGTACTGGGAGTGGCGTCTCCACTGTAGTAGGTAAATGAAAGTCTCTAATGCACAGAGTGTGTGGAAAAAATACAGTATTCTATTAGTTTGGTCTTTATGTAAGATTAGATAGTGAAACAGCGTGCTCCGAACAGAATCAATGAAAACAGTGGGCCGTGGATGAAGCTGTCGTTTATTTCAGCTCTGAAGATAAAACCTGCTTCAAATACGATGAGATCAGTCCAGATCCTACAAGTACCACGGTTTGTGATTTTTTTTTAATGTGAGGATCGCTGAAATTTACAGCTCAGTGGACACAGAGGGACTAATTGCACGGAGAATGACCTTGTCACATTACGATATATAACTTTAAGGTCGGATGTCAGATCTACAGATACCGAAAATACAGAAAACTACAGTCATGGTGGAGTTTTCAACAATAATCAGATCCTCGACCAGTCATAATACATATGATGCTTTATTTTTCATTTTCATCAAAGCAGCAGGCTGAGAGATTTGATATGGGACTAGTTGTTGTGAATGTAACCCGTCTGGTTTAAAGATAACCAGTTAGGTTAGTCCGTTACAACCACGCTAGTCACCTTTGTACACACTCAAAATAAAAGTTCAAATGTCGTGCAACATGAATAAGTTCCTCGTTGAACACTACTGTACAAGTAACAGATGCTTAGTCTGTATTTTGGTGAAATGAAAACACAAGCTGCTAAGTTCAGTTTTTCAATTATATTTCTATTTCAGTTTTGTTCAGTCGTTTTCTGTAAACCCCACAGCAAACGTCCTTATTCTGGGCCCACTGCTGATGCAGTTTGTTGTTCCCTCTACCTTCCACGACCACAGCTATGTTTTCCAGAGTGTAAACAGTTGCTGGAGAGCTGTGTCAGTGTTTATGCTCCAGGGAAATGTGATCCATCACTGACTGGAGCTCTTACACCGGTGCCTGAGTACAGACTGCACAGTCAGCTCATCCCACCTCCCTTTTAATGGCAATCAGCTCAAGGACAGGCCTTCAAATCAACTTCCTGTTTAAAAACGATATACCTCTAACGCTGGCCGAGGAAAATAAAAATAAAAATAAAGACAAAAGCGCAGGGCAGTGTGAGAAATAACACACATTAACACTGACAGCTCCTGTGGTTATAATTTATTTCATCCAAACGTGCTGTTCATTTAGTCTGGCAAGATCTATGTCGTAATAAAACTACCTTACAGCCGTGGGAACAAGTTACCAGTTTAACATGCAGGCGTTTCTCTTCTTAGAATAATCCACGGCACCTTCTGTCAGATCACATCAGTTTATACTCTTTTAATTAGCAAGCAGGATCCAGCCAGCTCCGGTGATGGGTTTTAATGACGATGTCAAGCAGACTTCACACAGCAGCAACAGGAGAACAGTGGATTCACATTCATCTGGTTAAGGTCTATCTTACATTGGTTCCTTAGAGAACTGACATATTAAACCTGACACATCTGTGGACGGACACACATGCAGTGCTCTCTCTCTCTCTCTCTCTCTCTCTCTCTCTCACACACACACACACACACACACACACACAAAATCATTTTACAGCAAAATCAGGCTATTTACAAACAATGAGGGAGACGAGGGTTTTTTGTTAAATAAAAAGGCGTCATTGTGACATTTTGGATGATGACCTTTGATGAAAAACACAACACATTTACAGCAGAATTAGCGTCAGACAGTGGGGAGCTTTGAGGAGAGGCATCAAGAGGAAACAGGATCAAGGAAAATGTGCGTAGCTTGCAGTAAATCAATAAACGAGTCTTAAAAAAAAGCTTTACAACAATTAAACTAAAACAACCCTGAGGCTAAAATAAAGTGAGTTATAATAACAGCAGGCTTAAGCTAACTGAATGGTCTAAATACAAAGGTAAATATTGGTTTCATTAGATTTGTAATTTAATCATTGAAAAACCTTTACAAATGTATACAGTGTATAAGTAACTTAGCTTATATTTCTTTGCCGTTAAAGGAATCAGAATACGATGTCTGTTGTTTGTGCGTTAATTATAGCATTGTGCATTAATGTGAGAGCTAAATCAGATGACTTCTGTATAAACTTTAAGATTAACATTTGATTATTATCGTATCGATCATTTTTTGGATTTTTTTACTTGTCTGTCACTGATGTTACCAGAAAGGTCTGTGGAGTAAACACAGTTCTCAATCACCTAACGATCAATATTTTCCCGTAAAGATCCAATGCTGATGTCAGTTGCTATTGTAACAGTATACAGTATTCTGCCTTAAAGGGACAATACTTACTTTTTTTCTAAAGACAGACTAAGAATAAGTCGGTCTCAGATAAGGTACCATCAACAAGTGTAGCAAAATCAGACTAATGCTACTGCGTGTGCTAAGCAGCTAAGTGGCTTCAAACAGTCTACTCTTTGGCAAGAAAGTAAATAAAAAGTCATTATGAAATGCTAAATAATCGTTTCCAAAGCTTCTGCTGTCATGGCTGATTGTGTTTGTTTTTTTTATTTCTTAAATCTAGACATCATTCAGGTAGTGATTAAGCTGCACTGTGCATTATTAAAATGTAAATAATAAATAACAAAACTAAAAAACAAACTAAATAAAAGTATTAAATATTGAGGTAAAGATTACTTTAATTAGACCTAGGGTTTGGAGGAGTATAAGGACAGACCATTGTACATGTCGGCCCTCAGTCTTGTCCAGTCTGCCAACTTCTGTACAGGCTGTTTCTCCTTGGCCAGGATACGAGTCACTTTTTTCAGCTTCTCCTCATTTCTCTCCAGGTAGCGGAGGCCCTCGGCCTGCAGCAGGTTCAGCTTCTCCTGTCGGCTGTCGTCCATATTAATGTCCTCGCTCACGTACGGATTGAAGCGGAAGTACGTGTCAGCGGGCATGAAGGCGTCGAGCATGGCGTGAACCTCTACAGGGAGCAAGGAAGAGGGGAGGATGTGAGAGGGAGAAAACAGAGACACAGAGGCACAACTGACTTCCTGACATGAAACTAACATTTAAATGTTGTTTCAGAACAAGAGCTCAAGGTAAAGCTGTGCTGTGTTAATATCACAGTGAAAATGTCAGGGACTACAACCCTCAAGTTTTTATTCTTGGCCTTGAATTTCCTTTGTGACCTTGAACCAGGAGTGGTTTTGTCCTCGGCAACTGTGATTCTACCGAGCTTAGCTAGTATAAAGGGCCGAAGCCTGGACTCTGTGGCAGAGCCACTGAAGTCATTTCTGAGCAAAACAAAAGAGATATAATATAAATTAGACAAAGACAAGGCTGAGAGAAGGTGAAGGGCCTTTTAGAAGAGCGAAAATCTGCCACGAAGCTGACAGCTAATCTGCCGTTTCTTAATAACAAAAGTTCTCTGAAAAGCCCCGGGGGGAGCTAAATCCTAAATTGAGGTGGTGCAACTACAGAGAAGCATCTAGGTCACACACAGCAACGGGAGAACAAGTCAAATTTATCACACAAAGCGTGTGCTCCGTTTCCCTACGTGACAGGAGAGAGGGGAGGCTGCTTGTACAGAGTAAAGTGTTTCCAGAACTGTGTCGTTTGTTTTATTTGTAAAATGTGGTCTCACCGTGTGTGGTACCAACATTTAAACACTTAACAACAGACAGAGGTTATGTTCAGAACACTTTTATTTGACATCCACTAGTCAGGCTATGGGGGGTTGACGGCGTAGCAGTTACTCACCCTCGGTGTCGGTGGCGCTGCTGATGACGTTTGTGATCTTCGTTTTCAGGCTGGTGTAGGTGGAGCTGTTCTTGCTGAAGTTTTCAAAGCGACCAGTCCCCAGTGAGACCACACACTCCAGAGGTACGCCAGGCCACAGACAGTTACACTCATGGATGGCCAGAGCAGTGGGGTTGTTAATCAGCAGGCCTCCGTCCTGTGTGGGAAAACAGAGGACGCGACAGGTTAGGGACTACCATTACTGGACTCCTATGCAGTTATAATTACATTATTATATACAGTAGGAAAATAGAAACGTTTTTTTACCTTAAACATCTCCTGAAGTAAAAGAACAGGGCAACCAGTGGTTCAAGGTAATTATGTATATTTAATGAGCAGAGAAGATACATTTGTTGGATTTTTCCCCCTTTTTCTCTCAGTTTCAGTCAGGAGGCTTTGATATTGAACAACTTGCTTCTGCTTTGGATCCATAGCCTACCCAAGGCGATGTGGGGGAGGGAGAGGGCGGGGGGGAGCGGGGGGGTAACTGCTTAGACTGTAGGGATTGTTGAATAGGCATGAGGCTGAGGGGCCGCGGGGCTGTGCGCTGGCCACCGGATCCAACACAC